AAAAAAAAAAAAAAAAAAAAAGAAATCTTATGATCAATTCCCTGTGAATACACAGGGACAGCTGTCATATATGAAGTTTACTTAGAACTGTGCCTAGCATACAAGGAAGCACTCAGTAAATGTGACCCTATAATGATAATGATCATGTTAATTACAATGGTACAACAAGAAAACACAGCAAGAGATCTCAAAATAAGTCTGGTAATTTTTCAATAAATGTATATTTATTGAACTTTTGTTGGGTACTATCTTTATCATGTTATTATTATCTGCACAATTGTATCTCTACATTGAAAAACTATAACCTGAGGGTGTAGGCATAGGATACATGTAGCTACTTTTAGCTTTTTTTCACTTAAAATTGATATCATGTCAGTAATGTCATCCCTCTTGAGTTCTTCTCAAAGTCAAACCAAAGATGTGATGTAACAGATTGTCTCCTTCTGCTGTCTTGTCTCCTGTCCCTCTAGGATACAGACCTGATGACATTCAATATCTCTGTACACCGGTCATGGTGGAGGGAACATGGGCCTGGTTGTGTCCGTAGAGTCCTGCCTCCATCAGCCCACGGCATGCTGGATGATTACACATACGTCTCCGTCACGGGCTGTGTCGTCGACTTCCAGTACCTCGAGGTCATCCACAGCGCTGTCCAAATATTCCTCTCAGTAAGTGTCATTTTTGTGTCAGTATCTGATTGGGTCTCTTTTGTACTGGTGCTTTGTACCTACACACATGATAGACAGAGTCACAGCTTAACATTAGCAGTGGAAATAGCAATTAGGATGTCATTAGTTATACATATTAGCAAGTTACATATTTTTCTTCTTGGTATACAGGCATTTTGTTTAGAAACAGCTGTGATAGTAGTTTTTAACCGGAAATACAATACACATTATTTAGTGGACATCACTATCCCCCAGCAGTGGTGCCTTGTCCTAAGCTACCTCAAGCTCTGTTCCTGATCTGCTCCTCTATTAATGCACATTAGTTGCAAAAAAGGAAAGATGGAAACCTAGTAAACATCACATTTCAAATAATCACCCTTTAAAGATCAAATCCCTCCACAAACTCTTAGCATGGTGTTAGGATACAGTACCACATAAGAAACAGAGAAGAGAACTGCCTTGATTAGATCACGCTACAGATTCCTTCTGGGTAATCCCTTCCCACCAGACTGCCCTACCTGCAGTTTGACCGCAGTGTGTAGGAAACTACATTTACAATTCACAGCATCATCAGAAGTGCTATTCCCCTAAGACCTGCCGAGGATTCCCCAGTTAGTTGTAATCAATATAACAGTGAAGCTATTAATAGCCATGCTTTTCACCTAAATTACCCACCTCTGTTCTTCTTCCCAACTGATTAGTTAGACTAAGAGGTGCAGGCTCCATAACAAACAGATCGGAAACATAAGCAGATTGTGCAGGTAAAGAATGCAATTCAGAGTTGTTTCCAGAAAGAATTGTGTAAAAGCCCTACTATCATTTACTGTCTGCATTATCTATCACTTATGTTGCCCATCATGTGACAAATTACCCCAAAGTTTAAAGTAAGCCCCTGACTTACGAACAAGCTGTGTTCTAGGAGAACATTTGCGAGTGAAATTCATTTGTAAGTCTGACAAAGTGCGTTTTATATACATCTGACACAAATATACAATATAAAGCATTAAAAACTAAATACACACACAAATACTGTAAATAAACTATTTTTACTTTACAATTAGCTTGAAATGGTGGTATAGTACAGTACAGTATTTTCACTTCTGTATCCACAGTTATTTCTTTGTGCTTCCTAGCAGTCCCCTCGACATCATCACTCCTTTTCCTCTTGCTTCTGATTGAGCTCTGCACTATGCACCACCCTACTCTACAGTAAGCACACAGCAGCACAGCTGTGGCAATGTCTGACAGACACCTGACCTATTTCCATGATTTGTTTGCATCTACATGTTGTGCGATTGTGTCTGTGACTTTGCAACTCAAATGTTAGTAAATTGGGGACTTATTGTACTTAAAATAATATCAGTGTATTGCTTACAGTTCTCTGGGTCAGGGATTTGGGCAGGACTCAGCTAAGTAGTTGTCCTGCTCCATATGACACCGGCTAGGGTTACTCAGGTGAGCCTTTTAGCCAGGCTCTGCCAGGACTGAAAGGTCCAGGGAGGCCTTGCTCACCTGTGTGCAGCTGGCTCTTGGGTCCGATTCTCCTCCTCATGACTTATCATTCTGCAGAAATCTTGATGGTCTCTCTTATAGCAAGTGAGCTGGGTTCAAGGAGAAGTCCCAGTGTATAAGCATTTCTGAAACCCTTACGCTAGTCATTTTTATTAGGGCCCCACTGGCTATACTGTCAGATGGCCAAACCCAAAGTCAGCATGGAAGAAATACAAGAATATTAGGATGCATGGCTCATTTAAGCTTATGGATGGTCTTATCTTCTTTGATCAATCTATTAATTGTTACTCTTTAACTTGCATCTCTGAAGTTTTAAAATGGTATTTTAGGGCATATTTGAATTATATTTTTTAGAAAATCTGAAGATTAGCCTAAGAAAAAAATAAAAATAAATTTAGTGTCCAGTTCAAAAAAGGTAAACTTGACCCTGAATTCAAACAAAGGACTATGTCTAAACACCAAGGAATATGCTTTCAGATGTGTGATAGGAAATCCAATTTATATGGATAGGTATAACATACTGTCATTTATCTACACAGATTTATCAGTCTTTCCTTATTCTTTGTTCTTTCTTTACTCTAGAAATTATATATGAAACTGAGAAGATATAGATGTTTAAATCTTCTTTGAAAAAATGTGTCTGTCAATGTTCTGAAAATATTTCAGTTCGTTTTATCATTCTGCATTGTTTCTATGTTATGAGAAACAAGAAGGGTATATGTGAACCAAAAAGAATGATAGATATAAAGAAATAGAAAAACAATGTTGAAGTGGAAGGGAACAAGGGAGGGAGAGAAAGGAAGGAAAAAAGGGAGAGGAAAAAACAGACTAGCAGGAAAATGAAAGCAAAGCTTTTGTAAATAAGGAGGAGAAGAGGGGCTAAAAGGAAGGGAGGGAGTTGGGGAAAAGAAGAACCAAGATACATCATGCACAGATACAAATTCCCTAGCATGAATGTGATCATTGGGTATATCTAAAATGTACCAATTAAGTTAATTTTTTAAAAAAGTTGAAAATGTATATACTAGATTGTAATAGTTACTGTATTTTTAAATATTGGAGAAATTTTTAGAAGCTTTTGGTATGTAGACAATCCACCCTGCTTCGAAAAATAGTCACATTAAATTGCTAAAACATTTTGTGGAATAATGACATAGTATCCAAATCTTTTCAGTGCAGCAGAATGCCTTGGAATCAAAAGTCATTTCCCTAGAGTAATTCCAATCCAAATGAATAGCAAGGTGAAAGGATTTGATAAGGTGCTGGACTGTCACAGAAAGGCACGCCTTAAGGGGAAATCTAAATACACTGTATATGTTCCCACCAAAAAGTACAAGTCACTTATAAATTAATTTCTTGACACATTCTAGTGAACATTCAAAGCTGCCAGGCTGTATGCATACCTCCGACTATACTACTATTCAGCCTTCAGGAAATAAAAGGATTAGTCACTGCTCTCTGATTTTTCTGGTGTAATACATCTACAAGACAAAATTTTCTGTGTTTTATCTTTTTATACTAAAATAAAATATACCCTAAATATGTTTCACAATTATAAAATTATAGTCAGCTTCTCTTATCTGTAGGTAATACGTTCCAAGTCTCCCACTGGATGTCTGAAACTGTAGACAATACTGAATCCTAAAATATACTATGCTTTTTATCTCTGCACATATATATGTATATATATATATATATATATATATAATATAAATGATAAGGTTTAATTTATAAATGAGGTACAGTAAGAGATTGACAACCACTGGCCATAGGTTTTAGCTATCCTACCATGTGATTTATTTTCTTTCCCTACGTACTTTCAGTTTCTTGCTTTGGCATACCCAAATTGTCGGTATCATTACTCTTGTGCTTGGTGCCATTATTAGGTAAACTCAGGATTATCTGAACACAACCACTTCTATATTATGACAGTCACTCCAGTAACCAAGACTAGCAGGTGGGGCTCTGTGCTGTGTGGATATGTTGTCAGATGGGTGAGTCCTACCTGGAGCAGATTAACGGAGGACAATGCCAGATTTCACCACGCCAGTACTCAGAACTATGTGGAATTTAATACATGAATTGCGTATTTTGAGAATTTTTCACTTAATATTTTCAGACAGAGGTTGACTTGAGTAATTGATTTTGGCTATAGTTGCTCTCATATGGTTTCTTCTATTTTCCAGTTATCTTTTTAGTTCACTATTAGAATTATGACCTCTTAAATCTGATGACACAAAAATTATTCCTGTGCCCGGTATTCACTGCCTAATATGTGCTGACCTGTCTGCCTTTTTGCTGTAAAATAAGAGCTGATGCTTGCAATATTTCACAGCCTATTAGGGGTGAGTAGGCAATAATAACAACAACAACAACGACGAAAACAGGTGGAGAGCTTAGAGGTGAGGCAGGACCCTTAAGACTCTCCTCACCAGGGTTAGCGCTTTCACTACTGGAGGGATAGAAATGCTCAGAAGAGCCTAAGAGAGGCACCGTCAGAGATAATGGGGGCTGGGAAAAGGTCCTTCGGGCTCCTCAGGGCAGCAGAGCTCTCCTACATGAGAGGAAGTATTGCAGTGACTAACCCATGGATATGCTTCTGCTGATGAACTGAACAATTCTCTTGCATTTAAGACCAGCGCTTCATTATGGGACAAAGGAAATTCCAGGCATAAGGAACCCTAGGAACCACATATGAGCTCAGTGGAGTGGAAAAAAAATAGCAAAATTCGCAAAGTCAGTGATAGGTGGAGTTCATTCCCAACAGGACTGGCACAGGTGGGGCATCCCCACCCTTGTGCTTGTCCTTCTGGAGGAGCCCTGAGGTCCAACCACACCCTCTGTCTCTACACAGCAGCCAGGCCTATGTGCCCCTTTCTTAGGAACCAGAGAGGGAGGCGGAGAACCTGAAAGCAGGCTCTTGGCACTCTGATGACGCACAGTCTCACTGCGGGGCTCCTGCGGATTGTCAGCACCACCAAGGTGAAGGTCAGTGTGGAATGCAAAGGAAGGCTGTTGTGAGCATGCGTGAAGGGAGGAGCAAATCGCAATCCAGCAGAGGGTGAGAGGTCTGACTAAAGGACCCTTTGGTAGGGGTCAGGAGGCCCTCCTCCTTGGTTCACATGTGCATCCTGTCGCACCTGGACAATGGCCATTAACCAGACTTCTGGGTCCAGTACTGTGAACCATCACTCAACCCATTACTTCTAGGGAGACGGTTTCAGAATGCTAACATGACCCCTCACGGAGCCTGAGAAGGTTATCCTGCTACGGATACATGTACAATACTAGCAAAATTTTCCAAACTATAATTCAATGGATATCACTTTCACTTTCTCACTGATAAAACCCTAAGTCAGGTTTTGGTGATTCATTATACATTTTTCTGTGTAACACCACATATCCATCTTCTGGAAACTCTGCATCACAGAAGGCAAATCTTTGCTGTTATATAGATGTTCTTTCTGTGTGAATCTAATATTAATGTT